ACTACCAGCTTCGTTATGTTATGTTCTATGTTCAGCGGCGTCATTATCAACCTCTTAAAAAAACTTCCAATTACATGATATGATCCACACATTGACATTCATGTATTTTGATTCATGCTTCCCAAATATATTATTGCCTCTGATGAACCTCAGAATACCTGGAGCTGAAAGTACAGCCCATATCAGCAGCTCATTTTTCCTTTTTGTTGGTTCTGAAGCTCAAGGAGCAGCTGGAGGACCACAGGAGGCTCATCAGAAGCAGGTCCAAACAGGATTAGAGAAAAGCATGGAAACTATTGTGTCAGTAAGTATGCTATGTCATCAAATCTCATAGCAAAGCATGTCATTAAAATGTTATAAAACTGCTGACAAAAGAATGACAAAATGTACTTTTAATCAATAAGAATAAAATCGTACATTTCCTAACAATTGTTTGTGTGTTTTTATACAAATCACCACTGTAGACAACAACAAAAAGTATATGAAAACAGTTAATGATGCTATAAGATAAAAAGAATATTCTGGTTAGTAATCATGAATACCCTTTACGATAAAAAATGTTCATGTTGTAACATCCCTAATTATAAACCCAACTTCTACTTTTTGGTAACAATGCCCGTTCAGTCCACTAGAGGGTATGAAGTCAACCGGACGAGACTCAGCAGACTTTAACACAAACAGTTTGTCTGGTGCATGTTCTGTTATGGGAATTAAATGTATTGTACATATTTTACATTGTTCATTCTGTACACATGACATCCATTGTAGTCTGTCCATCCCGGGGGAGGGATCCCTCATCTGACGTTCTTCCTAAGGTTTCTTCCCGTTTTTCCCCATAGAAGGGTTTTCATTTACGTTTTTCCTGTGCCGATGTAAGGCTTTCGGGACAGAGGACGTCACATGTATTTGTGGTTTTGGGCTATACAAAATTAAATTAAATTAATTGAATGTTGTTCTCAGTTTTTGGTCTTGTGACGAAGTTGCAGTTTCCATGAAAGATACCTCTTCTGATCGCAATAAGTGGATTTAATAACACTGCCTGTCTGGTGAGTAAAAACGTTTTATAGGGCGTTCCACGCAATGAGATGCAGAACTATAAACAGGGTTTCCTGTCTCCAATCAACAGGTTTTGCATTGTTTCCATTTTTTGACCTTTCTGGACTTATTTCCCCTGGTTGTCACCAGGCTTCGTCACAGAGGTCTCTCCAAAGTGTGTAGACACCCAAGTTCCTGTGTAGTTAGAAGATCCATAATCCTGACTGCAAGGAATCAATGGCTTTCTAACTTCCTGTGTGATTTTGATGATGGCTGGATTTGAATTGTCAAAAAAAAAAGACCTCCACGTCTATTCCTAACCACTATTCCTCAACCTCTGTGGAAAACATTATGGGATCAAGGAAAGATGATTAGAATAATTCATGAGGAATTAGGAAAAGAAAACCGCGGTGTTTAGAGAATCTGACTCCACTTTATGTGTTGGGAGTCGCATGATAGTGATGTCAGTGTGCAGCAGCCAAACTAATATTTCTCTGAAGAAAGACTACTACAAAGAAGCGCATCTTAGATGCCTTCGTCCATGTCTTGTTACAGTGCTGTATCATGCAGACATCATAAACAACCAGGTTAAAAGTATTACTTTATTAACAAGGTTGCTGTATAAATTAGTTATACTTACGTGATCTGCGTTTGTCGGTCATGATCGCTAGTTCTCGTGAACGGCCGAATGATACGTCACTATTTAAATATTGCCACCTGTAGGACATTAGAAATCAACTGACGACCGGGTTCATAAATTAATAAAATGCACGTACGCCAGAATACAGCCATGATTCCTGAACTGTGTAATCAATAAAGTAATGAGAATATTGTAAAACCACTGTAATTTTGAAACTGTAATCAATAGAATAATATCAATGTACAGCTATGATTGTATTCAATGTAATACTTGATAGCACCAGGAGACCACTCCCAGGGGGGTGGACACTAACTTTCACACCTTTACTGATCTGTATAAACACCTGAAGGAACCTGTTGTTCTCGAGTTCGCTGGTGGAGGCAGGAGACAGTCACTATGGCTGGTCAATAGCCAGCGGCTCCTCAGCTGTTAAGTTAATAGTAACTAACTTGTTATATCAAGTATAAACAATTCGGTTTTTAAAGTTTTAGATGGTGGTGGCATCAAAAACTTCAATGAACAGGTAAATAGATTATTAAACACCTCATAGATAGAACCGGGGGAGCTTCAAACAGGTTCAATGACTTAAATGGGCTTTGTGAATTTTGTTAGCATTTGTTAGCAAAAGCATTAGAAAAGGCTAGTTGAAAGTTTTAAATGAAAATGTTCTTAAACCTGTTGTGTAATTTCATCCAAATTGCTTCCTTACTGAGGAATTAGCCAGGAAGCCAAAGGCAGTGTTTTTTATTTTATAGCTGTAACGAAGAATAGTTTGATTTTGGTAGTATTTATTTTCTTTGATTACTCTGATTACAATTTATTTAAGTATATTTTAAAACTATTTTTATTCTATTCATTTTAATTCATGAAAGTTTATTATTTATTTTTCTATTTCATTTTAATATTGCGGTGCGCTCCGAAGTAGCGGGCAAGAAAAAAACTGAAAAAACAGCAGATGTTCATGACTTTGAGATATATTGAATTAGTTAAACTCAATGTAATTGAGCCCAAAATGTTTTGAGCACTTAAGTGGACTAAACAAATTTGATTAGTGTGTACTTAAAACAATGACCACACAAACTAATAAAAATTGAGTTTCAACTTCAACTTTAAGTTCTTTCAACTTGTTACATTTGTGCCACAAAACCAACCAATCAGCCAATCACAAGGTCCATTGTGATTGGCTGATTGGTCTCCAATCACAACGCTTCCTAAAGAAGACGAAAAAAAGTGATATTAGAAGTTCGGCTAGCCACCATCAGACATGACCGAAGCAAATGATGAGAACAGCGTTTTAATTAAGTGTTTTAATCCAAGCCATTAGCATTTAGCACAAATGCTGCAAACTTCAACAACTCGCTGAGCTTCCGCGATGCTGTAGGTAGTTTAATTCTCTGATTGGTTGGTTTTGTGGCACAAATGTAACGCTGCTGCAAGTCGAGCGAGCGCAGAGTGAAGAGGTGGAGAGAGCGCAGCAACGGCTGCCTGCGCGCAGAAAACCAGTTTGTGGAGAGGGCACCTAAGTAAACTGCGCGCACGGAATATGTTTTTCTTTGCTAAAATATAGTTCTCTGTGCTCAAAACTTACAATTACGCGCTCAGGATTGTGGCACAAATATAACGCCATAACTTTTTGGAGGGTTACACCAGCAAGCAACCCCACAAACTGGAGTGCTGAACACTTCTGCTGAACCGTCTCAGTGACTTTCTGCTCAAACTCATCCTCCAGAAGGCACCATCCTCCAGCTGTGTGGTCCCGCCTCCAACCGGTGTTAGACATGGTGAGGGAGAGATCCCCTCTGAGAGATGCCTCCATGTCTACAACAGCCCGCTACCCACAAACAAAAGGGCAACCTTTACCCTCTGTCCAAAGAGCCTTTCAAGAAAGGCTTCAAAAAGATCAACTGGAACTTCTCTGAGGCAAGGCACAGAAAGCGGGCTCCAGATGGTTTCCGATTACCCTCAAAATCTAACAAAATTGTGCGACATGGAGGTGATATCAACAATCCAGAGTTTGACCAGTTGAAGGACCTGGGCACTTTGGTGGAACGTTTTCTTGTGGGAGATGAAGATGTTGAGAGGAAGGTGCAGGAAATGATTGTGCCTGTCAGAGAAACAATGAAAATCCACCAAGTGGTCAGCTTCTTCAATGGGACAATTAAATACCATGATATAACTCGTCTATGCCAGGCATGGGCCGACCGCCGCTCTCCATCTTGTCCTGTAGTCCTCCATCCTTCTCATCTGGTCCTGTACTCCTGAAGATCTGTTATAGCCATTGATATCTGAGTAAAAGAGACTTTTCTCAATGTTAGTCATTTTTACCACACACCTGTCCGGCCAAACCAACCAAACCAAAAAATAAACAATCTTTCAACACCTGTTAAGAGACATTTTCAGGACACTGGGTTAATGTTAATGCATCTAGCATCACCGACTATTATTCAAAGGGAAAATCAATAAAAAAAGATTAAATTTAAACGTTCTGCTCCAAGATGCTCGCCAATCCCACCAGATGCGAAGGAAGGCTGTCTAGAGCTTGATCAGTCCTGACCAGACGTGAAGGTTTTACAATCCTTCGATAAACAGCCTGTCGGTCTCCATACAAGTCGCTGTTCTCATCCCACAGCCAGCGTCTCCGGTGTGGCAGGAAGCCCAGGCCTGAGGTGGAGGGTGGAGTCCATCTGTGGTCCTCCTCTCTGGTCCTCTTCATGGAGGATCCGAGGCCTGAAGTTGGTTCGTCCCGTCAATCCTAAAACACGGACTGGTATACGGAATCGTCGCTCAGCGGGTCAAACACAGTCCCGTCGCACTCCCAGGGAAGTAACTTACCTTCACCCCAATTGTGGGAGCAACTGGGGTGGAGGTGAACTCGTCGTCGACATGTTTTTTATGCAATGGAAATGTTCCCAATCTTGAACCTTTTAAAGGAGGTGGTGACGATGGTAAACAGAAGTCATCAATGTCTGTGTTTATCCAATTATAAAACACTAACATTTAAATCTTGTTTCAGCGAATGTAACTGTGTTGTTTTTTCATTTGTTTGGAAATCATGAGCCTCCTGTGACCTCTACAGACATGTAATTCACCCACGTGTCAGCCGTGCATTACTTCCAATCATCTCAGCTCCTTAGCATGTTACGCGTTGAACCTCGTGACACAAAGTGGTCACAAAGCTGTCAGTTATCACTAGATTGGCAAACTGTATTTGTATCATTTCCACCGTCGTACAAATTTGGATATGTGACCCTTCATGGTAGAATCAATGTGCCCCCATAAGTCATCTGTTAATACACACCACCGAAGGAACTTTACAACTATGGGGTCTAGAGTGCAGTTCTGTTTATGGTCAATGATAAACACAACATATCCTTATTTGCAGGCATCCAAGTTCAAAACTGTTTAAAATCATTTACACAAAAGAACCATGATGATAAGAATGCAAATCGAGGCCCTGGCTCAGGACAAAATACAAGTATACTAAATGTTCCGAAATATAATATATATATATATATATATATATCATAATATAAAATAACACCAGTGTGAACGGAGCCTGACAGAAGTGAGGATCAAGAGGAATGTAATCTCAGGGTCTTGCACAGCGCGGTAGTCTGGATCAGACACAAAACCAGCAATTGGTCAATCATCGCAGTGGGGCAACATGCGCGATATGGTTCCGGTGTTCTTTTCACATCCTTGTTTCACAGTCAAATTTTTGTCCAGCAGATCGATTATCTCCACACCCCTTGGGGTTCTCGTTCTGAAGACACCTTTGTGAGAAGGGCTGAAGGTAGGATATGGAAAGAAACGTGCCCCTTTATGATTCATGTCCTGTGCCCTACTCGCTCTTCTTCTTGGGTTCTGGGGAGCAGTTCCAGTAGATGAGAAGTTGCAGGGCGATGATGCCGTTACAGGAGGAGGAGATGACGTAGGTGAGGGCCATCAGAGAGTCTCCAGTTTCCTGCAAGAAGGCAATATGGCTCAAGATGATTCACCTTAAACACAGGCTGTCAATACGAGTGTATCTTCAACACATTACAGAAGAAACACACACAGTCCGCTTACCTGTAGTGAGGTGAAGATGCGAGCGAGAGATCCAGCAAACAGCAGGAAGACAGAGACAGCGGACAGCTGGCCAGTGTGCCCATTACGGAAGTTAGAGGCCGCCTGGATCAGCTGAGATACCCGCACACACACAATAGTTAACTCAGTGACAAATATTATTAATTATACAAAAGAAAAAAAAGATCTTAATATAAAACCACAATGATGAGTAGACTGAAATGTCGGCCGCCAAATATGATATTGGATGAATTACATACTACTATAGATGTAGCAGACTTGTGTGCCTACCCTGCCAACGATGATGGCTGGCATGTTAGAGGCCTGTAATGAGGTAACCACTGACATGGGAGTGGCAGGAGAAAGCAAGAGGAGCAGCAGGACAAAATACACAGCCAGGAACAGGAGACCTGGGAGAGAGAGACAAACACTGATCGGAGGGCCTCAACAACTCTCTTTAACGCTAGAGGTCATCCTTCACATCAGTGACTAACATTCACACCACTCACGCACACACGTGGTCACAACTATGGGAACCTTTTGGGGTTAAGTGCCTTCCCCAAGGACACATTGACATGGACTAGTGAAGGCAGGGATTTAACTGCCAGTCCTCTAATTGAAAGACGAACCTGCGCTACCTCTGAACCACCATCTTCAGTCAGTGAGTCTTGTTAAAGGTGCTAAATCCGACATTAAGAGCACTATATCGTGGTATAGGTATTAGCGGTGTAAAGAAATAGTGGAATTAATTCTTCCCGAGTAGAGAAGGTAGCCGCTCCCGGCCACGCCTGCCCTTTAGGGAACAATAGTCATGTGAGCGTCCACTTTTAGGTAAACACTGTTAGCTCTGTCAACTCTCTAGCTGCTGTTTGCACCATTAACGGCTAACCGTCAGCTGAGAGACGCTCGGAGGCAAGTGTGTCGCTGAGTAAGCACACATTTACACTAGGGACATTTTTTCTTCTCTACAACACAGATCAAGCGCATAAAGACAATGAGGGTGTTTGTTAATGAAGAGATTCTAGTTAGTTGGTATTTTACCAACTTAAATACAAATCCCTCGTTTTTCAAACTAAGAAGCAATAAAGTAGATCAAGTCAAGTGCAGTCGTGTGATTCCATCTTCAATGCTATTTACATTTGTGTTGAGTTTTCTTTGAGTGCTCTCGCCTTGTCTGACGTTGGATTCTATGGTTGTTTGTGTACTTATCTATGCCAAAACGCTTCAAAAAACAAATATGACGGAGCAACTGGTGGCGTCAGTACTGGCTCTAAACACGAAGCTCTAATTTGCATCACGAGCGACAGTTGGCCGTGAATGCAGTCGTACCTCTGCTGGTTCTTCCTCCATAGTGCTGAATGAGGAAGCCAATGGCGACTGTCTGCAGCATGAGGAACAGAGCCTCCCCCCAAGCACTGGGGAAACATTTCACAGTTACACAACTTCCTGCTTAACATATGAAAGACAACACTCAAAGCGCTTCATGTATATCTCCACTTCACAGAGTTGATTTTGCATTTTGTCCTAACCTGAAGGGGAACTTGTTGGCGATACTGTAGGCCATGGTTCCTGTGATGGCCAGCAGCTCCAGCAGCACAGTGTGGAAGCTCAGCCCCTCGGCGCTCTTTGCCCCCATCAGCTTTAAGATCTGAGGCAGCTTCACTGTGAACAACCAGGAAGGAGAAGTGGTGGAAGCAGAGCAGTTATCAAACAACATTCAAGCTCTCACATAATTGCACTAACTAAAGAACCCATAAAAACACATCGGACGGAATAATCTCAAAGAGAAGAGGAAAAGTGTTTTACCCATCACTGATCCCAGGATGATGCCGATGCCCAGGCCTTTGCTGAGTAAAATCTTCAGACATGGTACTGCAACAAAACATTAAAAAAGAAAAAATGAATAAAGAATAAATGTCATACATCCCATCAAAGTTCACACACTTAATCAGTCACCAAAACAAATGTTGCGCAAACACTTTTATGGATGATTTACATCAGTGGATGAATTTTCATGTGGTGCTCTGGTCGGCCACACTTCAACACTAAGGAGATGAACATGTCACATGTTCATCTTTTGCACAGCAGGTACATGAGAAAGAGGGTGAAAATTCAAGAAGCAATGCTATGCAATGTTATGAAGAGGAAGTGTATCCCAATTGAACACCTACTTGATGCAACAGCCTATACTTTGTAATGGCAGCAGTATGCACTAAAAGTAAAGAGCATGTGCTTTAGAACACAGCTAGTTAAGTGTAACATATTAACACGAGATGCATCTAATTGCTTGATTAAAATCAGTCAGCATGTTGGCTTCTACGATGTGTTCAGTCTTATACATCGAAACATTCATTCTGAGCAGAAATAATCTCAAGAGTTTGTGTCACTCTCAGAGATTTAACCCCACAATGTCAAAATAACCAGAATGCTTTGTTTTTTTAAAGGTTCAACACTAACAGACCAGCTGACGTTTTCTCTTAATATGTTCTTTTTCTTCACAATAGATTTATGTCATTAATGCTTAATGCTTGATATCGGCAAATATTCGGCCAAAGAAGATTTTGTCATGGTAAAAGGTTGCTTTATTCTTATTAAATAGCTGAAGCCGCCCTGCTCCTCTAACCTGACGTTGAACGTTAGCAACGTCAACACAACAGCTGGTTCATGACGTTACACATTGAGCAATACATCTACCGAGTGCCTTTTCGGTCACTCAGTTCTGGGTTTTTAACTACAAATGAGCCACTTACCGTCCAGGAAGTTGAAATTGAGAAAGAACTCGTCGTAGCATGATTCTGGCATGAAATATGTCAACAACAGCCCTTTGAAAGGGTCCATAAAGGATGAGCCTTCAATCAAAACAGCTTCTTCCGCCATCGCTGAGATAGATGTGACGTGCGTTCAATGAGTAACACAAAAAGAGCTCCGCCGGATCGTGTTGCGACACCGAGGTTCCGCTATTTGAGCACAAAGATGAGCTCGAGGGTTTGTTTGGAAAGGCAATTTACTCTGAATATGTGCCTACAGATCACTAATTTAAAATGACTGTTACAAATGTACTGAGTGATGTAACTGTTAGAATGAATGGTCATATGACTTACAACATTTGACTACTTTTAAATAGGTTTTCTTACAAATATAACTGTGTAAAGTGGAAAATTCAGAAAAAGAAACCGCTTAGTGTAAACCTTAAAACAGCATGCGACAATGATTACAAATAATTTGATATAACATGTATTAAGATCGAAACAGAGCATCATAAAGTAATTGTGTATTCATAATTAATGTAACTACTTTGTAATCAACAACATTTTGATCGGTAACAGTATTTTAATACTGCTGATTATTGTTTAATACCGTTTTTTTTAATAACTTGAACTGTTTACAAACATATTTACTTTGTATTTGGTAATCTTCTATAAAATCTTTATCTATCTATAAAGCACTTTCTCTCATCCCATCCTTCAGCCTCCACCTGCCTGCTTTGCCAAAAGGCACCTCAGCAGGGAACGAGCTTATTGATCAAATATTTCATTATTCAAGTATGTTCAAAGGTGTCCTTCTACATACTACCTGCCAAGAACGAGATATTGGTCTTGTGAGATGGGAAACAATATGACACATATTCAGTGATAATTCAATGCTTTCATCAAACCCTCATGTCATCATATTATATGTTTAGTTCACATAGAATTCACTGAAACTGGGTTTATTCCACAGTGCCCAGTTGGAAAAACAGCTTTTCTCCAGGGCTTGCTGCTATAGGGAAAACAGTGTTCAATTCATGTTTTTCTTTCAACTCTGATCAGAGGTGTTGAGTGAGTCACGTGTAGTATTTGGCTATATTGCATTGGAGTAGTAAGCTGCCAAAATAAGAATACCTGCTTTGTAGTAAGTCCGCAGTTATAATTCAGGTAGCAGCTCCTATACGAGCCTCTAAAACACTGGCAAATTATTCACGCTGGCTTCTTGGTCAGAAGAACAATAGGAGATGGGATGCATTAGAAAGTAGTGGACTGCTTGAAGGATGAATATATCATTGAATATAATACACATCTTTTTTATTCAGGGTTGTTCCTTTTCATTTATTATCAATACCATAATGACATAATCATGTCGTGGCGCAGGGGTTAGATAAGGTGTGCTGGGAAGCACAAGGTTGGTGGTTCGATTGGCATGTCAGATATACGAGGCAGAGCGAAAGGGGCTGAGAGAGCTGGGAGAGGTAAATATAAGCAATATACTGAAGAAGGACTTTAGGGACAAGTGTTAGGAACTGCTTTTGGCATATTTAGAAAATACAAGACTAATGAATAGGATCTGAGAGTTTTTTTTGTTTTGGATTTGGTTCTAGTAGAGGTTTAATTTTCTTAAATCCACACTCCAGATCAGTGGGTGGCGGTAATACACCCGAAAGCTGTTTGCCAACCGCCATAAAAAGCAAAAGAAGAAGATGAAGAAGAAGAAGAAGCGGTCTATGGCCGACATGGAGCCCACAGACAGTAAAGGGCTCTGTGCTGACATTCAAACAGTCCCTTTCTCTGAGTCCCAGTCGGACTTCCCCGGTCAGCCGTACTCCGTGTCCGTCCTCAAAGCCGGATACTGTCTCCCTCAGACCGACGGGACGTTTAGAGCTGACGGGACCATCACCCTCATAACGGGACCCAGGACCATCCTGGTGGACACCGGCGGGCCGTGGGACCGCAGCTTCCTCCTAACGACGCTGAAGAAGAGGGGCCTGGAACCCGGGGACATTGACGTGGTAGTGGGGACTCACGGACACTCGGACCACATCGGGAACCTGAGTCTTTTCCCCACGGCGGTAATGATGGTGGGGTATGACGTCAGCGAAGGGGACGCGTACCGGCCCAGCAGGCTGGCAGAGGGGCTCGCGCACACTATTGACGAGCATGTGAGTATCTCTGATGCGTTAAAGGGGAACGTAGTTTAAAGTCACTAAAAAACATGGGGCTCTCTCTAACTAAACTTATAAAATTACATGGAATACAAATAGAATCCTCAATTAACAACGTATTTAACCAATATCGTTGACGTTAATCGCATTGTGCTCTCAAAAGTGTGTCAGAACAAGACATTTTAAAAACACACAAAGCCTTCTACGAGCGTGCAGCCCGTGCTGGAATAAATATAACAAAATTCATGTGTCATGGTTCTTTTGTTTAAGTTTTGTTTGTAATATGCTGCAGGTTTACGTCTCCTCCCTTCCACAGGTGTCCGTCGTTCCCTGTCCAGGTCACACAGGACAAGACGTCAGCGTCCAAGTGACGGGAACCTCAGTGGGCACGGTGCTTGTTGCCGGGGACTTATTTGAGTGCTGCTCAGACGAGGACAGCTGGCGGGACTTGAGCATGGACACTGCAGTGCAGCAGGTCAGCCGGCAGCAGGCGCTGCGCACCGCGGATGTCATCATTCCAGGACATGGACTCCCTTTCCGAGTCCTCAGGAAGTGATGAACCATTTCTATCGGTTGATCGTGTTTCAAATAATACAACATACTGTACAGAGAAACATACGTTTCATTTGATCACTTTGAAAGGGAGCACCCGAGACTGCATATCTGTTTCTATCTAAGAAACAAAGTCAAGTCACTCACTACGCCTTTTTTTAAGTGTGATATTTTATGTTTAAAGTCGCTTTCTTTTTTATATTGGATGATCTTAATATTTCAAATGGTCTTTGAGTATACAAACAAAAGAAAACAATATCAAATTGTAGCTATTGTTTAATATAAATCTGTAAATTTGAGTTGGCGGCTTTATTTAATTTACATATATATAAACAGACAAATCCGTATTTCTGCTTAATGTAACAATACGTGCTAACTTTTATAATACAGTTTTTAATGGGTGTGCCTGTAGTGATAAACCGGTACCTGTAAATCCATAAAAGTGATCTAATCTAAGGCAACCCTTTCCGCATTATGACTAAGCAAGGATACCTCATGGTGAGGGATCAACCAGGAGAGTGCTCCGTTACACCCCGCCCTCCTAATAATGTGACACCACTTTTCCCACCAAAGTTAGTGCCTAAATGCACTTGAGTGTAAAAAAACATGGCAGAAACAGGCAATTCTAATCGCTAGTTTAGTTTAAGGGGAACATGTAATAATTGAATGACTTTATTCTGAACTGTTCCAAACTGTAAACACACAGAGTGAATTGCTCCTTTGAAGAGCTGATCAGGGGGTTGAGTCTCAGGACCAGAGCGCTCTCTCTCCCCACACCAGCAATGGTGACTCACAACTTAAGCGTAGACAAGTTTCAGGTAAAAGCACATGTTTGTGAATGGCCCGCTCAACTTAAACGGCTATTTTGCTTCCACAACGTTTAAACAGAGTGGAAAGAACACTAAACTAACTACTTATTTTTCCTCAATTCAGCAGTTAGCGATTGATAATGTCACATTGAAAAATCAAATATTGTGTTACTATAAGCAATTGACGGGGGGAGTTCCCTGATGAATTCTATTAGTTAAAATCAGTTCCCTGTTTTCTCTATTTTCTCCCTTATGACCCCCAAATAATGGCAATAGTCAACATCAATGCATTTGAATAGCAGGACTAGTAATAAGATTGTATCAATTTAATTTAATAATACAAACCAAGATTTGTTTATGTGTCTTTGGTTTAATTACCATATGTTTCTTATTAAATCAACGGACCCTTACTGTTCCATTGTTGTACTACTCTGTATGTGTGCTGCTCAGTTTTAAAAAGGGGGATCGCCCCTGGAAGTGTCCTGTTTTTCATCTAACATCATGACACATGCTCTTATCATCTAAGACACTGTACTGTAGTCACGCCAAGTGTGTGCGTGGGTGTCAGAGCACCGTCAGAGTGGTAGTACCAGGTACGGACAAGAAGGACTTTTATGACGTCACCATAAAGCGCCAATGGCCTGTTCCTGCTAGTGAGAGGTCCAAAAAGCCTGATCAGGATTAGGTATATTTAAAGCATGTAAAGTAAAAAACGCATCACTACTATTCTTATGATATTCATGAGTATAGCAATGTACATTTTTCCTGTCAGGTCTCAAATACACCATATAGTTGCTGCTTTTATTCCTCTTGCACTATGTTGTCTTTTTTGTGTTGTTGTCCATTGTCTAACTGTCTGCTGTTGTGCACCAACCGCCAAGTCAAACTCGGAAAGTTAATCTCCAAAGGTGAGCGTGTTAACATCAGAGTCTAAACTCCAGGGTCAATTGATTATTAACTCACTCAGCGAAAAATAACTTTCTGTTATTACCTTGGAAATATGCTAAAAATACTCTTTGACTCCAATAAAAATGTCCATTCCCGCAGCTTCTCATTGAGTCCTGTTCCTTGACCTTTGACCTGTTCGGCAGGTACAGTATAAACTCATTTACTACAAAAGAGGAATGAATACACTGCAGCCGTGTCCCCATCTCCCCTCTTTAGGGCGGGGCTACCCCGTGATTGACATGTTGCTGTCACAGGGTTTTCCGTTTTGGGAATTGTCCGTGTTTTAGTCTTACTCCTTCTGACCCCCTCCGCAGGTCGCCTAAAGATGTGCTAGCCCCACCCTCTCGTGTGTTACTTTAGTGGTCTAATATCAGGTATAGAATCAATCAATCTCAAACCAAACGTTTCTACGGATGTCAGTTATTGAGCCTGCAACAGACTTTTTCAGGGCTGGTTTGTAGCCTTGTGCCACTGAAGCAGTGGTTTGCTCACTACCAGTAAAGAGAAGTGACAAGTCAGTATTCAGTACAGAGTCAATACAAAAGCGAATACTAGGCTAACGGATCGGGCCATTCGCAACATTAGCTGTCACAGACAGACGAATCACAGATACACACCAGTCACACATGATCACCGGCAGACGTCCCAGGGGTGGAGATAAATATGGAATATATATATTTATAGTTCTCAGGACTTGATAATGATAAGCACCATGCTTATCATTAATAATCCAACGTCACTGGGTTTTAAGGTCAGTTTAACTGCTGAGCCATGCTGAGGATGTTCCGATGGAAAGAGACTCATCGATCAAACTCCATGGCTTTGCTTTTGAGTCTGTGTGAATGCGCATCCCCAACAGATGTTAAAGTTAAAGTCCATTTGCACACTCCCTACACTTACACATTTGAATACGAGGCCATAATGATAAGGTAATCAAATCAGATCCACACACACACACAGACACAGACTTGCAATGCTGCAGACTGGAAGTCATTCCTCTGTGTTGTCATAACAGATACTTCTTGTTCAGGTTAAGCAAATATGATTGATCTGCTGTGTGTTAAAGAACACACGGTCTCAGAGGCTCTGACCCGGAGGAGGGGATGTGGCTCAGCTGGATCCGTAACGGTGAGGACCCCATGTAATCTGCAGCCTGTGTGTAAAAAAGGAAAGCTCAACGTGACCTCTGGGGGCTTTTGTTGAACCAGTGCCTCCCTTGTTCACTTGTCATTTTTTTACTGTCTCCATCTGACGGCATAAAGGATCAACACAGACAGAAAGCGTTTTGTTGTTGTAATAAGTTGCATACTCAAGATGAATAATAGTTATAAATAAATAAATATAAAATGATGAAATGATAAAAGTTCTTCAAAGTTTACTGGAGAAGAAGGTCAGACGCAGTGCAATAAGTACAAGGACAGTGTGTTTTAAACTATGTGGAATGAGGGTAAATATACATATATATATATATATATATATATATATATATATATATATATATATGAACTCAAATGTGTTACTTATTTTTATTACTTGAATTAAATACATTTTACAATGTGAAAGTATACACATAACAATATGAGAAAAATTGTTAATCCAGACAATTTTTGGATGTTAGCCATAGCTAGCATTGTACACAGAACCGTTTCAGTGACATCTTCAGTCAATCTCCTCGTCCTTGTTTCTGCACAATATTTTTGCACTGAATGTTCAGCTGAAACAATGAGTTGTTTGTTTTAGAAAAGAGAAATAAATGATGGTTTAAGTCCTTTTTCATGTAAACATCAAATTGTTCCAGCTTCACTTACTTTTACTCTTTTATAATGTTGCTGATATTTAAGGCTTATGTAACTTTGGACTCTGGGTATTGTTTCTCAATTTTTTCTTGAGTAGCGGCACCAGCAGTTTAAATAGCATGCTGACAGCGCTAGAGGTGTAACGTGAGGGAGAACCAGCGGACAGACCTCCGAGGGCAGAACAGAGTACTGGAACTCTGGTACTGGTACTGGCACACTCAGGTTCCACTGAAAACCCGATTATGTCAACAAAGCCCGCGGAAGCTCCGATAACAACAAACCCGGAGGGAGTTTAAACCTAAATCTTTGAGTAGAAATTAGTGGTTTGTTGTTAACATTATTTCTATGGATGTCGGTAATAGCACTTTCAGTAGTTCAAAACAAACTCCACCTCAACAAACTGCAATTAAATCTTGCTTTCCAAAATCCTGATTTCCGATATATACTTGACATAAACTTGTATTGCATATCATGTGTATACTAGATTGTTTTCAAATTGTAAAATGTATATATTTACTGAAGTAATAAAAATAAGTAACACATTTAAGTAGAATTCAGACATGATTATTATTAACAACGCATGCACACCAACGTGTGTGTGTGTGTTCAGTCATAGTGATAGTGAAACAGACAAAGGGGCCATTGGTGATTCAGGCTTCATCACAAACAATATAACCCTAAACTCCCAAGAAGTTGTGCCTTTATACTTAATGCAATAGGTTTGTTTATTCTCTGGTTTCCATTATTGGCTTTATAAGGCTTATGATTTACAGACCACAGGCTTGGTTTTATGGGTCTTATGGAAACATGCAAACACGCCCATTGTCATAAAGATGATGATACTCTAGCTTATCACCTATTGCTCCACCTCCATACCCTATATCCTCCAAACCATTATATATATATTCAAACAGTTCCTGTCTGTGACATCTGATGCAGGAAGCTGACGTGTAATAGTCACCTTTTTGCAAAGAAGAGGACAATATCTTGTTTGGAGGAGCAGCCAAGATTTGTAGACATTTTTTTACCTTTTTGAACGACGTCCATCCGGAGCCATCATGTGTACAGGATCCTGTTCGAAGTTCGTCGCCATCCCGCTCTATGTCCTGGCCCCGGTGTCGATCATCTGCAACATCATGCTCTTCTTCCCTGGCTTTGAAACAAAGTATGCAGCCGAGGACAGGGATGGACTGCTGCGTATCACAGAGGAGGTGAAATACATGGGAGGCCTGATAGGAGGAGGAATCATGGTGAGTAGGCCGACATTCGATTCAGTGATGTCCACGTGGCAACAATCCCATGAAGTTGTTCTTCCTAAACAATTTACAATTAAAAGCAAAATTCTTCTCCCAACTCCGTCTCCTAAAAATGATGTTATCTTAAAACTAAACTATGTTGAAAATCTACAATGAGTGTTCTCCCAGATCAAGTTTGTATCTTTAAATAAGTGGTTCATGGGAATTGAAACAAAAGGAAAGGCTCACCAAACTTTTAGTAAAGTTTAGGAGAAGTTTCTGTTGAGGGTTGAATTAAACAAAGTCGCCTGGGTGAAAATCTTCTGTTTGTTTCACATTGTTAAGAAATGTTATGTCACCAACAGACGTGACGTTGGATATAATAGGCGCTGCCAGCTTCCGTGTATGGGACCGCCATTTTTAGGAGAGCACTCTGCATCGCGGGAAGTAGCGCTAGACCCTTTGTGTAATGTCTTCCGTGGCTTGCGAGAAGCTTTATCAAGCATGGAAAAATTAATCCCAGATGATGTCATAGTGATTTAGTCAAAGACATTTCCGCTTCGAAGGGGGAAACGATAACTGAAAAGCGTGTCACTTTACTCGATTTATTGAGATGCGATTCTAGATTAAACTTATTTAAAGCCAGGCCAGCTTGCTCCAGTCCACTTTACACCAAGTCACCGTCTTCTCTCATTATGTATCTGTTTCTCTCTCCGCCTTTCCTCAGGTCCTTATTCCCGCCATCCACATTCACCTGACCAGTGCTAAGAACTGCTGTGCCAACCGCTGTGGGGTAGGTACCGTCTGTAGCTGCTGTCCAACAAAGATGTATATGACCGATTGTCTATTTACGTTACGTCTCATATTATCATCATCACATTGATACAGTTGTAGCGGAGATATGTTTCCCAGTGAAGTGTGACAATCTTCTTTGAAAAACAAAGCTGTATTCTTAATTCTTTCATGCACAACGATGAAAGTCGGACTCTGAGGACCCCTAGTGGTCGTCAATAAAAGGCCCTGCTGCAGGTGCACGCTGCGGACACAAGGGGCGGTTACGGTGTCACTGACTCTCCTGTGTGTGCCTCCACACAGATGTTCCTGTCCATTGGTTTTGCTGCAGTTGGTGTGTTGGGGGCCGTGTACAGTCTGAGTGCTGCTGGCCTTGGCCTTTCTAACGGGCCAACGTGCTTGTGGAGCAACGGAGGAACCCCATTAGAGTGGGGCACGCCCTTCGCTGGCGGGTACAGCAAGCCTCCGTGGACCGAGATAAATATTTCATGAGAACTCAATCCATAATTAAATGTGACATTTTCCTCATTTACATTTCATTTAAATACTTTGCAGTAACGGTAGCTACCTGGCCAACAAGGACATGTGGAATTGGTGTAAAGAGCCAGAGAATGTGGTTGAATTCAACGTGGGTCTGTTCTCCACCCTGCTGGTGGCGGCGTGCGTGGAGCTCGTCCTCTGTCTCATCCAAATGGTTAACGGACTGTTTGGATGTATCTGTGGCACCTGCGGCAAGGAGGTGAGACCATAGACCACAGAAAATAAAAAAGGGGGGTATTTTGACTAGTGCTGAAAGAACTCATTTAAAGATCTTGCTTCTTCGCTTTTCAATGTGATGCTTTTTAGTTTTTTTTGGCCCGGGAGCCATTTTGACATGGCAGCCTTTTTGCTCTTCGTAGCTACGACGGAGTGGTCCAAACACATGACCTTTCAATCCAACCAAATGTTTAAACAGCCGAGACGCGCATAGCTCTGTAAAGATCCCTAAAGGAATCCATATAAATGGATACAGCAACTGTAATAGGGATCACATCCACAACACCGTGGGCTAAATTGGTTTAGGTCACAGCGGTTGATTATCTTCAATGAATGAATCAATCTTCAATGGACAGCAATCCATAGATCAAACGCTCTGACCGAAAAACTAAAAAAGACAAATATCTGTCCGTTGCAGCAGTGTCATAAGACCGTCCAACTGCGACCTTCGATATGTTGGACAATCAAGAAGCATATGGTATACTCCTGCACCTATTTAGAGCTGTTTGGTCACTAGATTAAGGACTGTTGATAGGACCATTGATAGACAGTTGTTCCTGGCCGGTTGCACCAAAAAGGACTTTAACAAGATTAGATACAAAGTATATTTTTGTGTCCTCCTACAAGCTTTAATGTAGATGAATATGACCACATGCATTTCTCTGCCTTCTCTCAACAGTAAGCTCAGCTACAACACACCATGACTTCTTGAAGAACAACTGACAAGAAAAACATCATCGCCGTCACCATGTTTATCATCATCGTCATAATCTGCTTGAGGGTGTTCAATAACGGTGCCCTGACGCTGTTTTTCTGTCCAAATCATATACGTTGTTTTCATTCTTCAAGAGGAATGACTGGGATGATCCATGAATTATTACTCCCTCGACTTTTTAATTGCCTCGATCTGTAGATGGTAAAAAAAATGGATGAAAGCTGTATTTGTAACTTAGTAGGTTTGAAAATATTTTGTAATAAAGATCTGCACATACAATAAAAGAGGAGATAGCATGATGCTTTGGAAGGGGTCGGACCTAAATTAACTGTGTCTATTTGTATTGGTGATGTCCAGAATACAATTAACCACCATATCAGAAATACTCATCAAGATTCTCATCTAAACTCTGTTTTTGAGGTTTCTTAGGTACAATAGATGCTTCAAACAAATTCCACTGTTTTGAGGGTTATGCATCTACAGTACATTTTTGAGAGACTTGACAGTGCATTGGTTACTTTACAGATTTCAAGCCAAAATAAATGGCCACCAAGATTCCACCAGCTACAGATTACATAATATAACTGAAAAACATTTGCAATTTCATTGGATCCAGTATTTAATTTATCCGACATGAGTTGGATGTTGATTTACTCCTCAACTTTTATTAAAACAGGAAATTTAATAAACCCAACTGCTAAAACCATGTAAATCAAACAAGCAATAACTTTTACAGTACACTTTTGTTTGAATTTTTTTCCGATTTGTAAGCTTACTATTTCTTACATATACAAATATTTTCCTTTTTAAATTCGAGTTTTTTAAAATGCTCCGAGCTCATCCGAGATATGTTGAGTCATTATTGCAGGGTTATTTGTCATCGCTCCTAAAATAGTAAAATGTCAATCCACTTTGCTCTTCAACAACAACGTCGATAAAACGAAATTATCACAGCGGATAAAAACACTGACCCCGACGTGATTTGAACACGCAACCTTCTGATCTGGAGTCAGACGCGCTACCGTTGCGCCACGAGGTCCGCGGTTGTCAGCTGGTAGAAGACGTATATAAAGGCATATAGATCTACTGCTACGGTTGATTTCTGTTTTAGTTGTGACCCGCCCTTTCCTTAATATAGATGTACGCTGTGGATTCATTTTACGTTACAATAACCTTGACATTTGAATTCATTACGATAGTTCTGTTGTGATGGGTTAGCCGCTAGAGGGCGCTCTATGACAAGACTTAATTGAAACATAAAATTATGGCAGTAACTCAGTAGTATTTAGACCACTGTAAGTAAAATATCCATTGGGCATAATGTAAAAAAGTAACGGCCACCTTACCCTAATAACTGGTTGTGCCCCCTTTTGGCAGCAACAACTGCAATCAAGTTTTTGTGATAATCGGTGATAAGTCTTTCACATCACACTGGAGAAAGTTTGGTCTCCTCTTCTCAGCTGAATTGTTTTAAGCCTCATTGGAAGGTTGGAGCCTGAACAGCTTGTTTATGGTCACAGCATCTCAATCTGGGGTTTAAATCCAGACTTTGGCAAGGCCACTCCTAAACCTTCTTCTGAGCCATTCAAGGGAGGACCTGCTGGGGGTTTTTGGAGCATTGTCCTGCTGGAGAACCCAAGTGCTCATAGCTTGAGGTCACAGACTGATGGCCCGACGTTCTCCTTCAGAATTTTCTGGTAGAGAGCAGAACTCATTGTTCCATCAATTATGGTAAGTGGTCCATGTCCTGAAGCAGCCCCAGACCATCCCACTACCCGCCATGTGTGATAATTAGCATGATATTGTTTCCTAAAGTTTCACTTCAGTCTCATCAGTCGAAAACATCTTCATCTTCTTCAACATCAAGCCTTGAGGATCATCAAGATGTTTTTTGGCAAATTTGAAACAAGCCTTTGTGTTCTTCTTGGTCAGCGGTGGCTTTCTGCTGGTTATGTTGGTCCTCTTCATTTCTTTTTGTTGATTCATGACCTCTCCATGGTTCGCTGAAGTCCCACAGCTTTAAAAATGTCTTTGTAGCCCCTTCCAGAGTGGATGTTAATGACTCTGTTTCTCATTTGTGCTCTAATTTCTTTAGATTGCGGCATGATGTGTTGTTTTTGAGATCTTTTAGTCTACTTCACAGGTTCTATTTTAGTGATTTCTGGATTTTTAAAGTTATTCATAGGGCCAGTAAGGTTTGGATAGGTGTTTTCCAAAATGAAAACATTTTTTAAAATGTTGTATTTACTGTTTTGTTTATCTTTGTTTGACCCAACAATCCGAAAAAATAAAACAGTGGGGAAAAAGATCTGAAGCTAAAAACTATAGAAAAATGTCCTTATTAGCAGGTTAATAGAAAGAGGCAGACAATCAAATGGATAGAGCGAGAGAGAGAGAGAGAAGTATAAAGATTAGTCAACTTCCTGTGCTAACAGTGACAGAGTGAGTGTTGACATGCTGGACGCACCCGATTACCTACAGTCTACGGGTGACACACATCCACACTTTCGTCCACTCACTTTAGATCCTCACCTCTTCTGATCACCCAACAGGTAAAGTCACATCTTTAGCTACTTTCTGCATGTGCTGTACAATGTTCTATTGTATTGCATGTGCCATGCAATTTCTTATCTTATCAAACATGCGCTGATGGAAAATGACTCAAGTGGATACTATATGTTTATTTTGTATTGGAATCACAACAATGAAAACTTATGAGAGCAGAGGTACAATTAGCTGTGAGTTTATTGTGGAAGCAATAAATAGAATTTAGTTCTTAGATGCAGATTACATCAAAGCAAATAACACAAGTGAGTTCTGCTTTTCACCAGGAACTGCAGCTGTACCGAGAAAATAGATCTTGTTCCTCTTCAATACAGGTTAGAGAACATTGAAGAATGTACATTAATTACATACATCATGGCACCTGTGTTAGAACCTTTTTTTTCTTAAATTAAAAGGGGTTCTTCAATATTGATTAGCTTGCCGCAGTTTAGATTCGAAGAAAACCCACAGAGGCCCTCATGTACGTATGTTTGCAAACGTGCCATTAACGGCGCCATGGCCAACCTGCAGAAAGCGATGTGATACTTCAATTCAATTCATTTTATTTTGTATACCCCAAAATCGCAAATTACAAATTTGCCTCAGAGGGCCTTACAGTCTGTAAACATGCAACAAATTTACGCATCCCCTCTTTACGGGAAACTCCCACCTTCTCCATGAATGCATGTGCATGACACGGAAACAGACAGACAGTCTGCGCTTTTACCTCGGTGCGACTTGTTTCTCCATACCTCGCCCAGCGGCCTGCACATTGCGAAACAAATACATGAGCGCAAAAGTGTTAATACATGAGGCCCTGAATATATTCACACGCTGTCTTTGCTTTTTAATGGTTGTGTCCGTGATTAAACGCTTATGGTTGAAATGCACTTATTGTAAGTCACTTTGGATAAAAGTGTCAGTTAAATGACATGTAATGTACCCAGATCTAAAGAATTAGTGTTGTTAACCTTGATTTAAATGTTTTTATCGCTCAGGTAACGAAGTGTTTCAAACATTTTTGTTTTTGCAAAATAATTGTCTTCCGGGTGTGCAGTTAGCGTGTAGGCTCGGGAGTTCCTGTGGTAGCCTTTTAGCAAAGTGTCAATTAGTCAACCAGATTTTTTCTTACCACTCCTCTCCCTCTTTCTTCTGTATTTCAGGTCACAATGTCAAACAACAGCTCCATCCCCAACCTCAACAACAGCACAGGACACATCGAAATCCTCCATGTGTCCATTTACGCCTTCATTTCCGTTTTCGGTTTGATTTTTAATCTCATAGCGCTCTTCTTCTTCTACCACACCAAATCCAGATCACAAACCATTGTCTACATGACTAACCTGGCCACAGCCGATATACTGCTCATTCTTACGTTGCCCATGAGGATCTACTACTATCTGGGATTTGACAACCTTCCTCAGTGGCTGTGTGATGTCCTTGGTTTGGTCCTGAAGGCCAACATGTACGGGAGCATCTTTCTCCTCACGTCCATTTGCTTTGATCGTTGCATGGCCGTCACCTTTCCTATGTCAACCCGTGTCCAGGAATGGAGGAAGAAAGCGCCGTTGGTTTGTCTCGGAATATGGCTGCTCACCTTTGGCGCTAGCGTGCCCATCTACCTTTCCAAGCGTTCACAAGTCGTGACCAACGTGACCAAGTATTGTTTTGATAGCCCTCCGGTCTATGCCACAAACCTCGTGGTGGTGTTACCCACTCTGTTTGTGGGTTTTGGAATCCCGCTCATAGTCATGCTGATCGGCTCGTGGGGTCTGGCCCGCGCTGTCCAAAGAAGTTCCGTGGCCCAAACCGACCTGGTTGACGGAAGAAAGATCAAGAGGATGATCATCACCAGCCTCTTCATTTTCATACTCAGCTTCCTCCCTTACCACGTCATCTTGGTTCTCTTCCCTCTTTATGGAGATAGGAACCAACAGCCAATGCAGGCCGCATACATCTACAGCCTGATGGTCGCATGTTTCAACACAGTACTAGATCCCGTTGCGTACTATTTTGCCACGGACACCTTCAGGAAGAGCGTCGACATGGGGGCCGTTCGGAGGATGTTTCCTCTGAACAGTCAAAGTTCTGAGACAAACAGGAGCAGAGTCCCTAACAGCTAATGGACTGCTGAAGACCCACTCAACACACACCGTGGTCCAAAAGCTTCCAAGCTGGTTTGCCAGTCTGACCCAGCCGTTCATAAAGAGAGGTTCGCAATGGATTTTTTTGGTTCGCCAAATAAATGAGCAGTTTCTTCAATAAGATAATGGTTGTTTATTGGACATTTAAATGCGATGTAAACTTTTGAGGAATTTATAACGATGCCTGAATGTTTGCGTTCTGAAAGCATGGGATCTAGTAATAAAGCCTCCAATGCTGTCCACCAGTGAAAACACTGACCGCCTTTGAACCTGGCGTTATAATGCATCTCGTACCCTGATTGTGTGTATAAGCAGATAACATTTACACCTTTTATTAACAGTTGTTTCCAGTGTCCACATTGAGATCCGATGGAGAAGCGGTCACTCTAATGAGTTCAAACAACGTCACAGCCCCCCCTGGTTTTGCCTTTATTTTTTCAATGTACCAAAACACTTGGTCTTGTTCAAATGTTACTTTGTCTATTAATGCAATATGTAGCAATGAGTTTTCTAATTACAAAAATAAACTGTGGCATTAACTACAACAGACTAAAATTTTTGTGCTGCAAAGTGTCACAGTGGGACACAACAATCCTAGCATTCATCTATACCCATAAAGTTTCACACAAAGCTACATTAAGAGGTTCAGGCACAAATGTTATTAATGTGCAAAGTGAGTTCAGCTTCAAAGCCACATATTAACAAACCAGCCGGATAAACTGTCAACTGTCACAGCCATTTCAACAGCGCTGGTCTGTGCATATGCGATGTCCTTTATTTATCTATCTTTTTTTATTGTATTATAAATGTTTATGTATTCTTCAAGGGGTATAGGCCAAGGGTTTTTTGATTACCAAGCAAGTGTCCGGACGTCATTAGCCTAGCTTGAGACAATGGCTGGAAGTGGACAGAAACAGCAGTGAAAAGGCCTTCCAATGCACACCACTTAACACCAATGTTACTTTTTTAATCCGTACAAAAATGCGCGTGAGGAGGACAATCTCTCCTGCAGGTTTGTGGATTCAGGGGAGGAGGACCTGGATGTGCCGATTTGTGTTGTGGTTTGCGAGCTGAGCTGTTTTAGGTGACACATGATAAGGAGTCTAGCACACAACAGCGCTGGTCTGTGCATATGCACAAGATCACACAAAATAACCTCCCCCTGGATTTTAGTAGCGTCCTCACCGCATTTGTTAGTGTTCTTAAGCTCCTTATCAACACATACAGTTATTGCTGAGAAGAGCAGCAGGGGACCAGGAACAGCCCTCCAATGTAAGAGCAAATGTGAACTGCTTCTGCTTGTGTCGAGACTTAATGGCAACCGTGTGCAATGAAGAAGCTGGCTGTGGTTTCCTGTTTGTATTGAATGCCGGTGTGTGTGTGTGTGTGTGTGTGTGTGTGTGTGTGTGTGTGCGTGCGTGCGTGCGTGCGTGCGTGCGTGCGTGCGTGCGTGCGTGCGTGCGTGCGTGCGTGCGTGCGCGTGAGAGACACAAGACATTTTGGCAGAGAGGCCAAGAATGGCTCCGTGGCTGCACAGCAGTGCACGTACTAGTGAGGGAAGTGGGAGTGCTTGTGAAGAGCGCCCCTCTGCATCTGCGGGACGGGCTTGCCTCATGCAGAAAATGATATCCCAACTTTTTATCTATAAATCACTAAAAATAAAATATTTGAAAACATAATACTTAATGTATATTAGTGACACAATTTAGAAGTTTAGAAGAGGGAGTGTGTTCCTCCAGCTTGGACATAAACTTTGATATGAGGTGCACGTTGGGATTCAGGGAACCTCATCCTGGATCTGTAAGACAAATAATGAAATCAGCTTTAGAGCGAAGTGTTCATATTGTTCTTACATCTGTAAAAATCTCTGTTCAGCAGTTATTCTGGCTGCAGAATGGCCTCTATAAATAAATAATAATAAATAAATCGGTGTTTCTTTTGTTCACCCCTTGGTTTGCTGAGAACTATTACAAACAAACTGCTGTGTTCAGACTTTCTGGACTAATTTGCATATCAGATTTTATAACTTGTTGGAGTTGTGTTTGGAGTCTTTTCAAATGGATATCTTTTCAAATGCATATTGTAGCCAAGACTGTAATATTTTGAATGGTGTGAAGCATTCATTTATTTGTTTGTGATGAGTACACAACAATCCTTTTCTGGCTCGGTTCTGGCTCGTTTTGTACCAAATTCGGGGACCCTAAGGGTGCAACAAGTTTTAAGAAAAGTGCATAAGTAACACAGGAAGACTCCAGACTAGACAGTTGAGGTGGCACTCTCCATGAAGTAGTTGCAAGAGCCAGGGGTTTAGTAAATGGAGCACAGGTCTGCCAAAATCTGCTTAAGAGGGTACTTATATCTTCTTCTCTGTTTTTTCACAAACCGACGACTGGCATTTCAACAAAAATCTTCATGATAACTCCTTCCCAATAATTTGCCACGGCCATAACGTCTCTACTTACCAGGGTTTATCAGCGAGCCTGAAGACTTCTCTCAACTGCAGCTCCACCACTTCTTCAGAAACTTGCACCACTCACCAATCTCATTGCTGCATCTATAACGATATGAGTGTTCCGCTTCTTCGTCCTGTATGCCCTCGGTCCTCGGCTTCTCATCTCACAACAGATCATGTCTTATCTCCTTCTTCATGCTAGTGTCTTTTCTTAGATCCAACCCTGATTATTTCTGTCTTCTGTACTCTCTTTGGACGGTTATACCTCCCACGCTGCATGACGCGCCTTTGCAAAGGGGACACTCTTGTCTCTTTCTGACATTCTCCCCACATTTAAACTGAAACCTCCCCTACACATAGACTTTTACTCCCTCCACGAAATAAAGTAGACTATGAATCGTTACCGATGGACTTTAGACATCTCTCTGCTCTATCTTAATACACCTTTGTCTGCCGTTAATTCACCTTGATCCACTTTAATCCAACAGGTCATTAACATAGAATCAAGCTAAAATCATACAAACATATTTCAAAAAATGAAGCATGACGAAACCATAATCTAACTTACCTGCTGGCTGCACACAACCAAGAAAGGAAATTAAAACACTATCACTCTTTGTAAACAAGCACTTTGTCTTCACTAAATAGTCTAATAGAAAACTCTTGCATGTACAGAAAAAGACAGATTCCACCTTTAGACAACCACACTGTCAAACCAGTGCAAAACCATATTGTGTAATCTGTTTTGTATAATAACATGGCAGGAGAAATAGCAATGCTAGTGTAACCAGGGCGGCCGTTCGCCTGGTCACAAGGGTGACAACGTCCCTTTGGGACTCTCACCCAAAGAATATCAGTTGTAATGAAAAAGAAAGGGAGCAGAGAGGTGAAGTTCCAGTTTTGTAACAATGTTTTTTTTTATTTACAAGTAGGTTTAATATTTAAAAGAAAAGAAATAATCAATCCAGAAACATTGGTCGGTTTTATGGCAAAATATAATCTATGCTTTGAAAAAGGATTACTATACTGGGGTACCCTACCAGTACAAGGTGACTACTTGAGGCCCACCGGGGCGGGGGAGTGAAAAGGGGACAAGGGGGCCACCACCAGGTCAAAGGAAAGAAAACACAGCAAATCAAAAAGAATTAAAACACAGCAAACAAACAAAATAAACTGAAAGGGCCTTCCACCTCGTGAGCCACCCCCTGTAGGCCTACTATATGCCCACCTGCACTGGCATTAAAGGGACCCCCAGTATAGGGCGCAGTAATGGTTGTTTATGTAGGACAAAACAAAGACACTAACCCAGAAAGGAAACAAATTAGCAATTCATAATCAAAGATACTATATAAACCGGGTAACCATAATCTATTTTAAATCAAAGGCAAAAACAGCAGTGACCAGGCTCAGCGTTGCACCACCTGATCATTTCCTGTATAAAAGAAAGAAAAGGTAAATAACGCCAATAAACATTTCACTGCTAAAAAGCATATTAAAACATGAAACAGAAAACCCCTGACATACCTCTAGATTCCGCTCAAACCCATCCGCACGTGGCGAGTGCTGTGCCTATGCCGTGGGAGACCTACAGCAAGCCCCCCTCTAGCTCTAGTGGGGCAAAAGCTCCCATTTAAAGAGCACCTGGTCACACCTGTTAGGCATCACCAATTAAGGTGGTGTGGCCAAACAGGCAGGGGGGGGAGGGGAGAGCTCTACCCATCACAATCTACCCCCCATTTTCTGTCGGCGACCCGCCGATAATAAAAAACAAGCAACAAGCAAACAAAAATATAAAACACGGTTTTAAGGAAAACTACTTCCACAGCCTAGGAGTGGCAGAGAGCATATTACCCGACCCAGTTACCCGAGAAGTTGCAGCCTCTCTCCCGCTTCTCCATGCTGGCACAGGGAGATTATGGGGGTTTGGGTTTCTCCCTGCTGTCTCACGCTGGCTTCGACGAAGAGGCACTGTACTGGATCCTTCCATAGGGTCATCATTATCCACATCCACTGGGGATATGGTGCCAGCAATAGATTCGGCTGGTGCAGGTGGTTGAGGGCAGGAAACCAAGGGCTCTAGCGTAGCGGTCACTGGTTGGGGGACAATCCACCATTCACCATTCGGTTCGCAATCTCCTTCATTGGTAGGTGATCTCCCTTGCTCCCCAGAGTCTGGCTCACTTATAGGGGTGGCTAGTGGGATTGGTCGCAGGAGAGTTCTATGGACATGCTTGATTTTTCCTGCGTCATCCAGGGGTGCGATAGAATACACTGCTCCACCATCAGAAGGGGTCTTGACAACTTTGTACCTCCGGGGACCCCAAATGTCCTGGATCTTCACTCTGCCTCGAGCACTGTTGTCTTTCAAGTAGACCATTTCACCCTCTGTCAGGTTGCCACCAGCCACATGCTGGTCATGTCGTTCCTTCCTGAGGCGAGCTGCTGCTTGGATCCTTTCCTTGGCCCCATCAAAGGCAGTCTGGAGGCGCATTTGGTGTTCTTGCAACCAATCACCGATAGTACCTCCAATTGGTTCCTGAATCTTGCCAAGGAGAAAATCAACAGGAAGTTGGGGTTCTTGGCCAAACATTAGAAGGTATGGTGACTCACCAGTGGTTTGATGGGTGGTTGTGTTGTAGGAGAAGGTAACATGTGGGAGGTAGCTGGGCCAATCTGGCTTCTTGACAGGTGGAAGGGCCTGTAATAGGCCATGTAAGGTCCTATTAAACCTCTCACATTGGCCATTCCCCTGGGGGTGGTATGGCGTGGTGCGTGTTTTTTTTATGCCATAGAAACTGCACAGCTGCTGGATTAACAAGCTCTCAAAGTTCCGGCCTTGATCCGAATGTATTCGGGCTGGCACCCCAAACCTATAAAACCATTCCCGGACCAGTACCCCTGCCACAGTGGAGGCCCTTTGATCACGGGTCGGGACAGCTTGAGTGAATTTGGAGAAGACATCGGTCATAATGAGAACTTGCTCTCTTCCAACGCGAGCACGTTCCAGCAGAGAAAAGTCAATGGCTAAAATTTGATTCGGTCGGGAAGCTACCAGATGGCCCATGGGTGTTCTCACAGCAGGGTATACGGGTT